ATATATATATATATATATAATATCTCTCCCTAATCTCAGCTAGGAATTCCATTTCTTTTGATTTTATTTAAAAGGAGTGGAATAACCAAGAAAAAGAAAGGAAGAGAAGAAGAGAAAGATAAAGAGAGAGAAAGTGAGAGGATGAACGCATCCTCTGTTTTTGTTTATGTATAATCTTTTTAGATCTTGGTTCAAACCAATTTTCCCATCTGGGTTCTCTCTTTTGAATGGTACGTTTGGAAATGAATTTATTTTTTTGTACAAAAATCCAATATTTAATTCTTTTTTGATCAATTTTTGTTTGAGGGTCCTTTGATCTTCCTGAATTTTGGATTTTCAGGATTGTAAGATTGAATCTTGATTGATGAATGAAGGATCCAATGATTTTAAAATAAATCCAATACTTCCCACTTGTTATTTTATCAGAGTGTGAGCTTGGGTTCCTGCCTGATTTTCTGGATAAGGTATGATTTTTGTTGTTCGTTTATCTATTAGATTTTTTTTTCTTATGTTGGATCTTTCGTATTTTCTGGAAAGATGTATTGCAACAATCATCTATGACGCAATTGATTTATGGCGTGCAGTTCATCTTCTTGTTGAATTGATTCACACATTTGTAGGATCTGGCTGTTCTTAGTGATTATAAGTATGTTTTTAATCAAATTTTGTGCTCAATTTGTGAGGATTTTTGTTTTTATAGCTATTCATTTCGTACTTCTATCTTTATGAATTATTTAGTTTGGTGGAAGATTATTGAATTGTTTGGAATTTGATTATGGGATGCAGAAAAGATGGAGTCGGATCTAGGTAAGCTATTTATTGGTGGGATTTCTTGGGACACAGATGAGGATCGACTGAAAGAATATTTTGGAGCATATGGAGAACTGGTGGAAGCAGTGATCATGAGAGATCGCACCACAGGCCGTGCTCGTGGCTTTGCGTTTGTAGTTTTTGCCGATCCTGCAGTGGCTGAAAGAGTGGTTAAGGAGAAACACATGATTGATGGAAGAACAGTAAGTA